TAAGGCTCCCAGGAATCGGGCTTTTTAGGAGTTTTGCACACTTTGCACTTCATAACTGCAATCACGGCCACGGAAAGGCTTCAGGATGTACAAAACATGAAAGATGCAAATTTTGGTGGATGCTAAGCATTGAAAACATGAGCATCGGGATCGATTTCGATTTTTGCAAGTATGATTCAAGTTTGGTTCGACACCTTTGAACAGCATGACGATAGTAAGGGGGTGAAGAAGAGATGCTCGTCTCTAAAGTAAGAATAATGCTTTCGTTATTTCGCCGCTGAATTAAGCGACTACTGAAAAAAAATCATGCTGCTAAAAAGATTGATTGCACTGGAATGAAAGCTGAATTATTGCTTAAGAACTTCACAAAGTAGCAACCGCGAGACAAAAATACGAAAATTATGAAAATATATAATACAAATAAAAAATTATAAGAATAGAAATCGCTTACTATGAAGTCTAGCCTCTTGACTAGCCGATCGAGAAGGCGGCAATGAATTTCCAGACGATCGACGCGATTCGCTGCTGGAGACGTCGAGATGATCTTGTGTTTGCATCTACACAGAACCATTGATTGAAAAATAAACAAATAAAGGAACTAGGAACTAAGGCTCTTACTTTCATCTTCCTGACCGTGACAGGGCCTTGCGATTGAGGTCGTTGACGGCGTACCGAAGTGTCATGAACAGGCTTTGAAGCTGCTGCTGGGGCTGCTGTCGCCTGCCAGTCTGCTGGCATTCTTCCTGAGTTGTTGTTCGCACGTTGCTCGACCTTGACCGCAGTAGTTTTCTGAAAGCTATCACATTCGACGTCGTCGCGTGTTCAATGGTGCAATAATTCGGGAATGATCAGGAAGAGAAAAAGCGAGAAATGAGGATAATGTAAGCACCGTCGGCATTTGTTGTCGCATGTCGGGATTTGGCGATGTGATGACACGAGAAGTGTAGTGTTCGTTTCTCGGAGGTGGCGGTAGCACTGGTACGTAATTTGTTGATTGAGCTGAAAGATTATTATTAGACAGTAGAATTTTTCTTATCCCTGCTTTTTATGATAAATTAGGCCGTTGCAAAAGTTCTTTCCGTTTGTGGGCCAACACGCAAATCCCTTCCAGTAAAGGCAAAGAAATACTTCAAGCAGCATCAGATGCACATTCTCTTGCTCTTTCTAGCAGCTATGCTCAAGGTGCGACTGTATCGACGAGCATTGAGATAATTACCGAACCTTTCAACCCTTTATTTTTTTATCACGTCTAGCTTTGCTAATTTTTATATTCTTTATTTCACACTTCAAAAGGTGCTCCGATATCCTTTCGATGGCGCATAGAATTCTGCTAAATTATATTATTATACAATGACCTCGATTTTCCAAAAGTATCGTATAGCGCATAATTGCACCAAACCCTGCAAAATCTTCAAAATTTTGGAGTTTAAAAGCTTATTTATCACTAGCATTAATTTTGCAAATAAATGAGCAATTTTCGCTTGAAGTTATGTTGATTTTGAATTATCTAGTACAATGTCGCGACCCATAAAATTCGGAAACGCGGCGATTTGTCCTGCAAAAGTCGCACATTTTACCAAAAAAAGGTAGTTCTAAGAAAGAGAAGAAAAAGATGCATCGAATTGTACCAGAACTGTTCAAAGTCTAATGCTTTACGAGGTTAGAATGAATCAAAATATAAAATTTTTTACTCCAGAATATTTTTATGATCTTAAACGACCTGTCAATAGGCGCAAAAATGTGCATTGTTTTGCAAAAGGTTTGCTGCATCAAAAGGTTACCAAAGC